TCCTAAATGTGTGGTCAGACGACGGAAAAGTTCAGATTCAAACTGACGTCTGCGGCCTGTAGTGATGGTTGAAGGGCAGTCGAAGTTTGCTACCCATCGTTCGAAAAAGGCGCGGGCCACTGTTTCAGCAGTGATGTCCTTGATAGGTACTGCTTCTGGCCATCGAGTGAAACGGTCAACGCAGGTTAAGAGATAAGAGTATCCATTTGAATCTGGTAATGGTCCTACCAAATTCAAATGAACATGATCGAAACGAGCATCGGGAGTCTTAAATGAGCCTAAGGGACATTTATTGTGTCTGATAACCTTAGATTTTTGGCAGCTTACACAGTAGCGTGCGCACTCCCTCACGTCTTTATTTATGCCAGGCCAGCAAAACCGTTCTGCTATAAGCTTGATGGTTGCACGAACACCTGGATGAGAAAGTTTGTGCAACGTATTGAAGACGTTGCGTCGATAATATTTCGGCACGATTGGGCGATTCCTACCTATAGATGTGTCACAAAGTAAGGTTTTCTTACCTGTTCCCATCTGTTTGATGCGTAGTTTGAGTGTTGTAGACGATAACTCGTGCTGAAGATCAGTGTCTCCTTTTTGAAGCTGGGCGAGTTTAAGAAGGTCGATTCCTTGGAAACTGTTCAAGGAAGTTATGCAAGACAACGAGTCTGCGACTCCATTGTTTGCTCCAGAAGTATGTTGAATGTCTGAAGTAAACTGCGAAATGTAGTCCAGTTGTCAAGACTCACGGGGAGAGTACTTGTCTGAGGGAGAGCTTAGAGAGAAGGTGAGCGGTTTATGGTCAGTGAAAAGAGTGAATTCACAACCTTCGATGTAGTGTTGAAAATGTCGTACAACACAATGCATAGCTAGGAGTTTCCTACCGGATGTGCTGTACCTCGATTCAGTGTCTAGCAACCGTCTAGAGAAAAATGCCGATGGTTGCCAGGAGTTGTTAACCCATTGTTGTAAGACTCCTCCGATTGCTGAGTCGGATGCGTCTACTGCGATACTAATGGGTGCTCGGGCGTCCTGATTTGCAAGCACTGTTGCTTTAGCGATGAGTTCCTTAATTGTGGAGAATGCTTTTCGTGCGGTGTCATCCAGATTAATGGATTTCGCATTACCACGAAGTTGGTCGGTTAGCGGTTTCATGAGTAAAGCGCATTTAGGTATGAATCGTCTATAGAAACTTACAAGGCCGTTAAACGTTCGTAGTTGCTTGATCGTGGTCGGTTCTGGGTAATCCAGAATTTTCATGCAATTGGTTCCCTTTATGAATTTAAATCCAGAATTGCCGCCACTTTGGTCCTAAGGGATCGAATGCCTTGAGCATCTATAGTGTGTCCTAGGAAGTCTAATGAGTCGGTCCCGATTTGGCATTTCTGAACCTTTACAGTAATGCCATGTTTTTGTAGTCGTTCGAAAACAAGATCCAGATGCTTGAGATGTGATTCTCTGTTCGAACTTGCGATTAGGCAGTCGTCAACATACGCATGTACGAAGTTGAGACCTCGAAAAACGTCGTCTATGAATCTTTTGAATGTTTGAGCAGCGTTTCTAAGACCGAAGGGCATTCGCAAAAATTCATAGAGTCCGGAGGGAGTAATGATGGGGGTTTTCGGAATGTCGTCAGTGGCCATGGGAATTTGGTTATACGCTTTAACCAAGTCGATTTTCGAAAAAACAATTGTACCTTTCAAGGTAGCTGTCAAATCGTGAATGTGAGGCAACGGGTAACGATCGGAAATGGTTTACGCATTCGATCGCCGATAGTCACCAGTTGGACGCCAATCGTTGTTGTCATTTTTGGGGACCATGTGCAACGGAGATGCGTATGGGCTATTTGACGGTCGTATGATTCCTAAGTCTATTATGTGATCGAACTCGTTTTTCGCTAACCTTAGCTTTTCAGGGGCTAGCCGTCGTGGTTTAGAGAATGCAGGTGGTCCTGTAGTTGTAATGTGATGTGTAACGTTGCTGGTTACACACGATAGTTTCGGTTGCGTTTGATGAATCCCAGGATACTTATCGAGTAGTGGTTGATACAGTGGGTCTATTGTATGTTTAATTGTGACTGGGGATAATCTGCAACCAGCAAAAGAGGTTACGCAAACGGATAAATTAGTGTTTCCGTCTACTAGCCTCCGTTTGCGAGTATCGATGATTAGATTATGGTGTTGTAGAAGGTCCATACCGATGATTGGCATAGAAACATCTGCAACAACGAAGATCCAGTGAATGGGTTTGCGTAAGCCCACGTTAAGGTAAACGTACCTTTTGCCATACATAGCGATAGGTTTTCCGTTTGCTGCCTGTAAGTTTAGAGTCGATTCGTGAAGCCGGTCGTTGGGATTCTCTGGGAGAACGCTAACTTCTGCACCAGTGTCGACGAGGTAGCGAACTCTCGTTGTCACATCTGTGACGTGTAACAGACGGCTATGTTCGCCGGCTACGGTTGCCGTTAACGCGTGCCAGCTTGGAAGTGTTCCGAGTTGTTTTTCGAGTCAGTCGGTTTTGACTTGGCAAAATTGCAGGGTTTTCTGCAATTTCTGGAAGAATTTCCATACTGGTTATGATACCAGCACCAGTCGGGGTTATCCGTCTCTCGTGGTCTAGAGACAGATCGCTTACGGGAAGTACTTCTACGTGGGGTGTGTGATCGCCTACGGTCGTTACGAAAATTAAGATAACGCGTAAGTGTATGACATAACTCGGTTATGTCATTCTGAGTCGTTTGAGGCTTTTCTTTGACTGAAAAAACCTCGGTAGTAGAAGATTTCGTAATTTCTAAGATACGATCGGCAGATGCAGCCAGTTCGTCTAAGGCGTTGTTCTGAAACGAGACCAGAACCGCTTGCACCTGTTGGGGAAGTTTGGACAAGAAAATTTGTTTGAATAGGCCTTCGTTGAAAGTTCTTGGGCCTATAACCTCTCTCATCTTTTGCAACGTGTCCGTCGCAGAACCGTACTGCAGGTCTATGTTATTAAAGAGTTGATCTAACCTTTGTCGATCGGTTAGGTCTCCTCGTTTAAGTATCGAACGCTTTAAGGTTTCGTACGGGTCAGAAACATCACTAGTAAACATACTAGGTGTTACGTACCTGTTGAATTACCGCGGTAGTGCCTTGACTACTGCAAGGAATTGTGCACGTGTGTCGTTCACGCCGTGCTCGTGGAAGTCGGCTTCTGCGTAACAAAACCAGGCTTCGATATTGTCGGGCCAAAAGGGCATGAGTTGGAATGAGGGTGGGGACATGGTCTTAATCTTAAATACCTTAGGAATCTGTTCGGTCATAGGGGAATATTAAATACGAGAATACGAGGGAAAATATATATAGATATCCTGAGACACGGGGGAAAATATCACAATATATAAAAAATAAGGCAATAATATATGAAAATCCCAAAAAGGAACAAACTCACAGTTGCAATTAGGTGTACCAGATTACGTCGGTCTCACCAATGAAGATGGCACAGGTAATCAGTGTTTGACAACGCTTTTACCAGCAACACCTTCTAATATAATTTGTACCCACCAAGAGAAATCAAAAGACAGAGTCGAGGAGATCGGAAGAGTGTATTTGGCGATAACCAATATATCGGAATTCTCTGATCTAATCTGGCTAGCGATTGCGGTAGATGTTGAGCACAGCGTTACCACACGTGATCTGGTACAGATGAATGACCGAGGGCCTTCAGCTAGATGAGTCCACTAAAACTAATCTGGTCAGCATCCAATGTCGAAAACTTACACGGCTATTTATTTTGGGGATTTATTTACCGCTACACACTCTTCCGATCTCCTCGACTCTGTCTTTTGATTTATCTTGGTGGGTAAAATTTATAATAGGTGTTGCTGGTAGAAGCGCTGTGAAATACTGAATACCTGTGCCATCTTCAATTCATTCCCGGCAAGGCAGCTTATCTAGTTTTCTTGAGACATTCGCCTTTTTTAGCGCTCGCTTTTCCACTTTATTGTTTTACTATTATAATGACTAGAATTAGAGAAGTCGAGTGGCTGGACTATCACTCGTTGGACATTACCAAATGCCTAAAACCGCACTGAAACAACAAGAAGCGAGTGCAAATGAATCAATCGGCCAAACATGCTCATGACAGAGATATTGGATATTACAGTTTTGAGCTCCAATATTGACCTTGCAATATGTACACTTGTACTAATTGCCAAAATTTTAACTGCAAGCATTCTTTCACAACTAAACATATTTAGTTATTCACAGCACCGCTTATTCCGTCTTATGTTATTGTTTGCCGTTATATTTCCAAAAGCCGTCTTATTCTAGTACACAGACGACCTTGAGCTGCGACGAAGTCCCTACTTATAGGACGACCTATGATGATTCGTTTAAATTCCACTGATCAGTAGTTTTAGCATAAAGAATCAGTCATTGTACATGAATTATTGTTATTCTTATAAAAATTCAACACCACATAAAAGGCAAAAACGTTTTGTAGCCTTTTGAATGGTTTTCCCTTCGAAATCTTATTGGTTCATACACTATACTCTATGAAGTAGCTACTTCTGCCAACAGACTTGATGATTTACATCATATCATATCATATCATGTTACAGTTGTATTATTTAATATATAGTTTCATGGTCATGATCCATATGGACCAGCTGGATTACGTTCCATCTAACAGGCTTTCCAGAATTTTTTAAGTGTCTTATGGATTTGATATATATATATATATATATATATATATATATATATATATATATATATATATATATATATATATATATATATATATAGTTTTCTCAAATGCATTGGCTTTTGTTTCTCCTCCTTTCACTTAGGATTTTGGAAATCACGTCTGATTTTTCAGGAGTCTTATAAACCAATTATTGGGCGAATCACCAGTGTAGTAATTTAGAATTATTATAAACCGTGTAAGTTAGATATCAATGATGGTTATTGTATTGTAGAAGCAATTTAATATCTACCATCTTGTTACTTCACCAGTGTTACGCAGCTATGTCAGGTACCGTATTTATTTAACAATTACTCATAGTTTATCAGATTCAGATTCAACTTTACCAGCCACAGATGACTTTGGGTCAAGATTCTTAGAATTTGATGAATACTCTTTCGAGCAGACTGATAATACAGAAGTAAATAAATTATATTTTTGTGTAAATGAATGCTTGTTAAAGAAGCAGAAAGCGTGTTCTGACTAGTTTCATTTCCCGAGGCTATGAACCAGGTTAAATTTCCTCAAAACATTTCGCCCAGCCTTACAGATGCCTTTGAAGATGACCGTAAAGCGTCCCTCCCAAAGAATCGAATTGTTTTATTAACACCAGGCTTGTTGCTACTGGTAGCTTACGAGAGTTGGAACAGACTTAGTTGACACACGCAGTTGCTAGTCTACAACTCTCACTTAAGTTCTGCGAGATCTTGCTCCTAAATGATCTACCTTATTTGTTTTGCGTATAAGTGGCGTTATAAGAACTACGGAAATTAAAATGTTTTAGGGACGGTGAAAAGTTCACTTTTTTAATTAGTGGTTCGTAAAGCAAAGCTGCTACCAATTTTCATGGCATCTTTTAAATGTCATTAATACTCACCTGGGCTTTCTAGTGAATTAACATTAAGTTGTAACCTAGCAAGAGTCGATAATTGGTTTGGATGATCGTTCCAACCAATTGGTTTGGGACAAGGTGTCTGTCTATCACTAAAATCCAAGACAGATGATCTCCTACGTACTGTCGTATTAGTACAGTTCAGTCCGATTATATGTTTTGGCTCACTTTTTAAGTACATCAATATGTTATTGCAAACTCCAAAACTTGGTAAGATAAGTATTTCATAATGCTTATGAAAGCATTGTATGAAAACAAGGAGTGGTCTCCAACTGGAATATGATAACCAGATCTTCTACAGACCGAAATTAACCACTGAACATAACTTCCGTCACGAAGTGACAGTATAACATGCTGCACTGTTATTGATTTGCACATTATTCAGCTCATATAACTCCCTCATTTGGTCTGAACTACGTGCAGATAACGTCTCCAAGTATGTTCGATACACAGTCACCAAAGTCACTTATTATACTCTACCTTCTTGAAATCAGCCCTAACAATCCATAACTTGCTACTTTGCAATTTACAAGAAAAATAGAAACGTCCGCTGGAGTAAGAGGACTTTTTAATGAAAACTGAAAGATGCAGTAAAGTTGGTAATGTCCCTAACATTTATGCAAATTAGTTACAAGGTCACAGTCCCATATAGGATGAAGTTATGTAGATGGTTCAGCACATCAAATGGAATTTTAGAGGATGGAGTATAGCTGTACTTGATAATAACAGCTAGATAGTTGAAAATCGAATAATGTTACAATTAAGTCCTTTCGAAAAAATTTCTGAATTAAGAGACAATTGTATAAAATGGAAACAATGTGATGCATTGGGGTATAGGTTAGTTACATAAGGGGACGCCAGGTACTGTATATTCAGCAACTGTTCCAATTGTTGTTTCTGGATACAACTAGGCTTTGGTCTGCACAAACTACATCTGTTATGTGACCGATGTATCCAGTTTTCTAATGAGCACCACAATATCTGCCGGTAAAAGGTCTTTAGTTTGTGGTAATTTTCCATACAAACCGGGATGTTTTAGTTTAAGTGGATGCTACAAGACATAGTTTTTTTAGTTTATTAAACTAAGTGAACTTAGCCTAGCGAAACGTAAATAAATTTTGTTTAGGATATAGTTGATCAGTTTCGCCTCTCTTGTATAACGTATTTCCGTGATTATTGGATGAGTAGTATTACAACATGCTCTTGAATATGACTGTCTTCTGCAGCAAACATCAATTAATAGTTTATATAGTTTAAGATTATTCTGCTGTTAGGCCATCATGGAGTTACGAATCACATTTGGTTTTAGGATAGTTGTATGAATTGAATTCGAAGACAGGTTTCGGAATAATGATTTTCTAAATGTTAGGTGAACTCTCTGGACCTACTAATCATCCCGGATACAAGCAGTGCTACGATTTTCATATAGTAGGTAATTTAAGCTATTATTGGTTTACAAAATGGTCAGCTATAATAAAATAACTTAAATGGTGTAAACCAAAGATAAAAATAAAAGTTGCTAAGCAACCAATGTTTACTTAACATTACTATCCAGTTCACTTTTAGTATGATTTTTGGCCAATGTTTGTCTTTCAGAGTGATGCTTTTTCTGCGTTTCTACATCAATTTCGCCCCGTTGCCGAACAAAAGGTTTCGTTTCTCGATGAGCGGTTGCTTGCAACAACTAGCGGACGTAAGAAATACATAAACCTTACTCTTGAAGATGACCAGGATTCTAATACCAGTGACAATTTGAAGGCCGGGGCTAGCTCTGGCAACAATTCTGAAGATGATGAAATGGAATATAAACCTCCAAAGTTGTTAACTGCACGACAGATAAGTTTACAATCACAGAAAACTGCTGTCCCAACTGATATTAAGAACATGAAGCAGTCTACAGCTCATTCCAGACTAATTAGTCTAGAATCCTTGAATTCAACTAAACCAACTCCAACTTTAACACCGGAACAAATTGCCGTCCGGCAAAAAAGAATAGCTCACCGCAGAGAATCAGCTAAGCACAAAGCGGAAATGGAAAAGCTCCAAACAGTGGAACGTTTGCTCAAGGTAAGTTACCGTATCCACAAGGTCCAAAATGTCAGTCACCAAAACTAACGGAATGGATGCAAATTTTACTTTTTTTCACAGTAACCTATGGTTCATTTCGAGTGCATGGGTAAGCTTTTGCACTTGAACGACTTGTGTAGTCTACTGATTATTAGATCCAGTTTGTGACATTTGCTTCTCAGGGGCGTTCCGGTTATTCTGATCCACACTAAAAGTATATAATAAACTAACTAGAAGTTATCAAGATATACTACTTATTATCACATATCCTCAAACCATACGTATCATAGTAGTGAGTTTCTGCAGGTGTGTTATATTAATTTTGTTTTCACGGTTAAATAGTGATACTTGGGCATAAGACATTTCGGACGAATTAACCGAAGTATGGATTTTCTTTTTTAGATTAATGCAAATGTTATTGGGCGACGTGGTCGAGGTAGAGGTAGAGGTCTTCGGAATAATGGTTTGGCGCACTGTGATCAGATCTCATCTCAAACGCGTTCACAGTTTGATGTTTTAAAGTATGAGGGGGGTTTAGTTGAAAAGGAGTATCTCAATGACACGCATGCTTCATCACGACCCAGCGAAGGTAATTGCATGAATACCGATTTTGTGGACAATGCTTATGAAAATACGAAATTGTCTGATAATAACATGTCTGCTAGTTTGCCAAATGTTCAATCATATAATCCCAAACCAGGATACATCCGCTTTGTATCTTCATCTCGTTTATCAACACAAACAATCATCTGTTTACCTGAGACAGATAATAATAGTGACAAGGATATTTATTTGCACACAAATATTTGCATACAAAAAGTCGAAGCTCCTGAAATACCTAAATCACGTCTATGCGACATGGGTTGCGGTTGTGCTAGGCGCTATGAATGTGCTAAAACAGGCCGCTCCTTATGTAGTTTATCCTGTTATAAAGCTAATTTGTCAGGATTCCCATTAACTATCTCAACTTAAATTGTAGCATTTAGACTTGTACAATGAATTTGAATGAATCTTGGTTTCTAGTAAAAAATATATATAATAAAGTATGTTACATATTGCTTATCCGCGGTATTATTGTATCTACTTAGAAATTATCAAGATGTACCTATTAAGAAACGCCTTAGATGTTGCTTAAATGGTTATTTTTAGATAAATACATGTTAAGGTCTATGCACATCCTGGAAACGAGGGTTATATCCCGATAGAACTCAATTTAAAGAAAGACCGCTCTAACAAAATCTTAGCAATTCATATTTTGAGTAACTCTCTCTCTCTCTCTCTCTCTATATATATATATATATATATATATATATATATATATAATCTTAAGATGAATGCGATCGGTTGTCACCACTGTTTTTGCTGTTATCATCTACGTATACATTTCAATTGTTCCTGAGCTGTTACTTGCCATTGTTTGGCGATGTGGAATGAACATTAGACAAAGGATCAGCTACTGCCATTCTTGGCTATGTTGAATTCCAGGACTGGAGACCCGTGTGTAACGGAAGTAAGGCTACATCAAAAGTGGGGGTAGTAATAATCATTAAGTAGTGTAGCTTTCTCACCAAACAGTTGTGCACTTGACTAAGGGTTAGCTATACTTTCTGGTTGCCGAAATCATATATAGTGAAGTGGAGAGTAAGCCTGCGGCAAATCGGCTCGCAGAATCATCTGCAATAACACGTTTATCGAAAGAGCGAAGACTTTGTAGCAGTACTGACATATGGTGGAAGAAAATTGCTTGATTGTTGTTTTTTGGAATAGTTATCCACTTAGAAAATGTTTATCAAGTATATCCATTTCGAGAAATAACTGTAGAATCTACCAAATAGATGCAAGTTCATACCAGCTTCAGCGTTGATAATGGCTGGTCGACTAAATAGATCATGTTGACCTATTTGAGAATTATACCAGAGATAAAAGTTAGTCTGTTGAGAATAATCAATTACGAACCAGTGCAATGTCTTCCTTGGTATGGAAACCAAACAACATGGTAAAGTAAGGAACACTATTCAAGTATGCGTTATTCTAGTTTCTTTTTAAGTACCTGATTGCTTTGTACAAATTTCCGAAGAGTATGGAATTTTTTCTAACTCTTGTATCGGTGTAGCTGTCATAAAACTAATATTTTAATAGTATTTATGAACACGATGGGTAATAAACCTTGTTCAGTAAATCCAACTCAACGATCATATAAAGTTTACCACACTTATTTGGGATAACCTAGTAACTATTCGTATTTGAAAAGTTATACAGAAAACCTAGGTGTAGGAAAGTTGTGAGTGGAATATTTTCCAAATAATTACCACAACGTTTTATAAGTATCAGAAATGTACTTAAATGAAAAATGGATTTAAGTTTCAAAATACAGGGAACTTCAAAGCGAAAATATGTAATATCAAAGCAAGTATGTACATCGCATGCAACTGTTGTGTTACAGAAGCTCGTTAGGGAATCACAGGTCAGTTTTCGGCGATTCATAAGGCTCCAACATATTCCTGAACTTTTGAGCTTTAAGTAGCATTTCAGTAAAATAAGAATCAATGTCATCAGTCTCACTTTTCGAGCGCAGCTTGTACTCGTGTATGATTGAGTCCAATAAGCTTAGAATATATTGTTTGTTTGAGAAATTGAGTGATTTCCAATCACATACGTTGAAAAACTTTAAGCACGCTGTTATAACTTTTCCACGTATATCATGGTTTAATGGTGCACTTAAATCGTTATATCCCATACCCCTTTGAACATCTTGAAGTAAAGAAATATGTAGGGTTTCGCAAAATCCATACATTAGAAAGTTTTCTTCGAAAGGGATACTGAAAGTAGGAAAATAAGAGAATATGTGTTTTTACGCAATAAATATTTGTCCTCTGGATAAATATATTTTAATGGGAGCTAGCAACTTTTCCTTCAGTAGTGTTCAGACTTTGCTATTTTCGTAAACCAATTTGATTGAAGTAACCGTATAGTTAAATTATATTTGTTTTGTTATAAAAAGTCTTATCATGTAATTTAATGGTTCATTTCTATTGACTTGGTCAGACATCGAAAGAACAGCCAGTGATTTTATAGGTTGGTGAAATCTATGTACAGCGACTCATGTATTTTCCGAATCTAATTCTACTGAAGTTAGCATCAGCTATTAAGGTTAGTAATGTAATTTATAACTGTCACTTTGTTTAGCGCAGACGTAGGTCCACCTTTTTATAATATTCTGTACTCATTGGGCACATTAGCGACATTTAGAGGGAAATTGTATTCAGGTATCAGTAGCTTACACATCACTTACCCTTAACGGTCGTGAGGTAAAATATAGCGGAGTGTTTCGATAGATACTGTGATACAAAGGTATGTGGTGAGAAAAGTAAAAGAGAGGAAATCATATAATAGTATTAAGAATACTATAAGTCAAATTAAACCACAAACGAACCTATCTCCGTTTTTAATTTGAGCACAGAGCTTGTACAAGACGACAGTAATCGATTATTTAGATGAAACTGGTAGTGGGTTTCTATCACATTTGAAGATTGGATTAACAATTCAGCCGAAAGTAAAGATATTCCGAAGTCTTTTAAAACAGTTCTGCGAACTACGATTCGGGGATCTTGTCAATTGCACTTCATGACAAATATTAGATGAGACTATGGTAGTTAAACACTTAATTTCAAAACCATTGTTTTCCATTGACACAGAGGTTATTAACCTGAACTCAATAAACTAGTTTAGTGAGTTATCATTCGATTATCTAGGGTTTCAATGGTAAGCTTTCATAATTCGTAACTATCGCAGCCAAGGGTCGTGCGTAAGACTAGGCACAAAGAATCATATGGTGAGTACAAGTGCTAAACCCACCTGCCTAGTCTTGTTGCACTCCATTGGTTTTGATGCAATATCCTTTGTCAGCTTGACCAAGACAGGAAAAGTCCAAAGAGAAATTACAAGCTTCGTAGATGGGGTTCAATGCACAAATAGGAAGGTAGTTTAAGAGGCTAAGTGTCACCTAATGGCTTCCCGGTTTGAATTCTGTTTTATCTAACGCTGCCCGACCGTTGTTGCTACCTTGACGTGGTGGTCGGGCTTGCCTATCGTGATGAAGCAACCGAGCTATACTGGCTGGAACAACCGTTCCTCAAGGTCCTACCATGTCAGACAGGTCGGTTGAAGAGCGGTAAGACTAAAAGCAACAAACCCAAGGTCCGAAGGCGAAGTCGTACTGCTGACTGTACAGAGGTGTGGCAGCAGTAAGGTGTTTTCTTCAGACAACCAGCATGACAGCGATGCTGCCTACCCACAAGGAGGGGTGGGGTTAGAAAAGGTCGACCCTAAAAATGCACACCTCACCTTACCTCACGGATCTCCGTCTCCGGCGGTAAGGCCCTTTGAAGAACGGAGCTAACACGTCAAAAACCTCCCATGAAAAGGCCGTGCGCGAGCGGCCTCAAGCAGTTGTCCTTTGGGCACTGCGGTCACGCTCTCAGGTCACTGAGACCACCTCTAATCCAATTTCCTTTTCAGGCACCTCCAGAAGAACCCTTCCTCGGTGTGGGCAACCGGGAAGTGATAACCGCCCTCAAGACCACTGTATTCATAATCAACCTCCCTCTTCAATTCCTATTATTCCTCCTACATCGACTTTCCACTCTAAACTTCCTCTTTCGGCTTCCTCCTTAAGTGTCACCATAGCCAACGATTCTAGTGCTCAAAACCCTGTCCCAGGTCTACTGAAACCTCGCTCTAAACTACACATTGGAGCCTTCAACGTACGCACCCTATGTCAAATCGGTCAGCAGGCTTCCTTGGCTAAAACCCTAGAGTCTCTTTCCATTGATGTATGCTGTGTCTCCGAAACACGCATACAGGATTCCAGTGTGGTCATTCACTTGACCTCAGCTCGGCAAAACGGAGAGCCAACGCCCTTCGTGTATCTGGTGACCCGATGGCCAGTTCTCGTGGACTGGCAGGTGTAGGCATAGCACTAAGCATGAGGGCGGAACAAGCACTGTTAGAGTGGATCCCCGTCAACAGTCGTCTATGTGCTGTTCGGCTGAACGGCTACGTAAGAACTCGGAAGGATAGGGACACACGTCGTTGCCTTTTTGTCGTTTCTGCCTACGCTTCCACTGACTGCAGCTCAGATGAAATGAAAGATGAATTTTACAGAAAGCTTTCTGAACTTCTTCAGAAAGCTAAACGTTCAGACATAGTACTCGTAGCAGGTGATTTTAATGCTCAGATAGGCAGTTTAAACCAAACAGAAAGGCATTTAGGTGGATATTTTAGTATTCCGACACAGCGAACAGATAATGGTGATCGTCTGCTGCAGCTATGCTCAGACAATCGTTTATTTTTAGCAAACACAAATTTTAAGCATAAGGAAAGACATCGTCTAACATGGCGACCCCCTACACCAAACCAACGATGGACTCAAATAGACCATATTGCCATCAGTCATCGTAAGAGAGGGTCGGTAGAAGATTGTAGCTCATTCTGGAGTACCTGCTTGGACTCCGACCACGCCCTAATACGGGCACGCATCTGCTTGCGCCTCACTGGACGCAAAAAAGCCACAGTAAAAAGACCCATTAGAACCGAAATGAGTAGCGAGGAAACCAAAAGTAGGTTCCAGGAACAACTGAGGTCACGATTAGGTAGTTCTGAAGACGAGGTTGACCCAGTTGTTGCTTGGAAAGCCATACAAACAGCTGTGGAAACAGCAGTGACATCTATCAGTGATTTAAACCACAGGGTTACAAAGAACCAGTGGATTTCTTCAAAGTCTATCACACTGATGGATTCTCGCAAACTCGTCCCATCAAGGTTCGAACATGATGAAGAGCGTAAACAAATCAGATCTAGGTTAAGAAAAAGTCTAAGAAACGACCGTGAGCAGTGGTGGGCAATGAAAGCAAAAGAGATGGAAAAGGCGGCGGCTATAGGGAACACAAGACAGCTTTACAGACTAATAAAAGAAACTGGAATTAATAAGTCAAGTGTAAGTCAGACTATTTCGGAAAAAGACGACACCCTCATCTGCTGTCAGTCCAGACGTTAAGAACGATGGGCGGAACATTTCAGAGAACAGTTCAACTGGCCTTCAGCTACTCTACAATTACCCTCCATTCCCAGACAATGTGAATGGAACATTGAAGTAGGTCCCCCAACTCTTACTGAAGTTCAAAATGCTATAGTTAATCTGAAACGAGGAAGGGCAGCTGGTCCAGAGGTCTTTAAGGATGGTGGTCCAATTTTAGCGATTAGGTTGACTAATATTTTAGCTAAGATCTGGGAATTAGACTTTATCCCATCTGACTGGTCGCAATCACTTATCGTCCCAATATATAAGAAAGGGTCAAAATCATCCTGTGACAACCACAGAGGGATTAGTTTAACTAATATAATATCTAAAATACTAGCTTCGATAATTAACAGACGCCCAACTAAGACTCGTGAACTGCAAACACGAGAGACTCAGGCTGGCTTCAGACCTGGTCGTGGCTGCATCGACCACATATTCACCATTCGTCAGATTCTAGAACACAGGCATACTTATCGGCGTCCAACAATGGTGGTCTTTCTTGACTTAAAAGCAGCATTTGACTCGGTAGACCGCGAAATTCTGTGGCAGTGTCTGTCATTGAAAGGCGTACCTCAGAAGTACATAAACCTTGTGAAGGCTCTTTACTCGAACACTACTAGTCGAGTCAGGGCTTATGGCGAACTGTCATCTACTTTTGCAACTTCAAGTGGTGTCCGTCAAGGCTGTCCACTTTCCCCATTTTTGTTTAACTTCATCATAGATCTTCTGATGGAAATAACATTCTCTTCCACTGAATTCTTGGGTATTGATCTCCATCCAGGAGGTCCACTTATCGACTTAGAATACGCAGATGACATAGTCCTGTTTGGTGAAGACGCTGACAAAATACAGTCTTCTGGTAGCACTAAGCAACAATGCCAGAATGTTTGGAATGCGCTTCTCTCCCTCTAAATGCAAGTTGTTGCTTCAGGACTGGTCTGCGTCAACACCTGAACTAAGGATAGGGAGTGAAGTAGTCGAACGCGTTGGCAGCTTCACTTATCTTGGAAGTCTGATCAGCCCTAATGGGTTGGTGTCTGACGAAATCTCAGCACGGATTCGAAAAGCTCGTTTGGCTTTTGCCAACTTACGTCACCTGTGGCGAAGGCGAGATATCCGTCTATCAATAAAAGGAAGAGTATACTGCGCGGCAGTTCGTTCTGTTTTACTTTACGGCAGCGAAACATGGCCATTAAAAGTAGAAGACACTCGTAAGCTACTAGTATTTGACCACAGATGCCTTAGAAATATTGCTGGCATCTGCTGGGATCACCGGGTAAGTAATAGTGAGGTTGGACGCAGGGTATTAGGAAATGATGGTAAATCAGTTGATGAGGTTATGAATCTTCATCGACTGAGATGGTTGGGCCACGTGTTACGTATGCCTGAACACCGATTACCACGACGTGCAATGCTATCCGGTATTGGAGGTGGTTGGAAGAAAGTTAGGGTCGGCCAAACCAAAACGTGGCATCAGTGCTTGAAGTCACTAACTTGTAGTCTGAGCCATGTTGGTAGATGCAGACTACTTGGTTGGGGTCCGCGTGACTTTCGTAACCAATGGTTGGAGACTCTTGGTGACATGGCTCAGAATCGATCACAATGGCGTCGGTGTATACACTCCCTGTCTTCCCTTAAACTAAGAGATTAAAATCACTTCATATCTTTCTTTCTACGAACCAATTGTTTCTTGTACTAAATCTCTATATGCAATCTTTCTCTTATATATTACCACCTTTGACCTAACCACTGCTGTGAATCCGGTGTTCATCTTGTTGTGCTGATGCGGTATGGCAACCTGGACCGATGCACATATGTGCCTGGTCCTACGTTGCAGCTGACTAACTGACTGACTATCTAACGCTGGTTTCGGAAACTAGGCGGTATCAGACACGAAAGTATGACTCAAACCCTATACTTAGCTAATGACCATATCTATCTACACATGTTCGATCCGCTCACCTTATTATTTTACCCACTTTTAGTATACACCCACAATAAATACATTATATTATACTAACTTACATTATTACAGTATATATTATATAAATAATACTATTTAAAACCGTTTTTTTAAACCTACAGAATTCAAAATAACGAAGCTTAATAAACACAATCATCAACTTTAGGGTACGAAAGATCGGATTGTTGACTAAGTTACGATGTTTTAGATGTCACAACCAGCTGACATGTTGGTAGTCATAAAATGGAAAATCAATAAGCGAATAAGCACGGTTGTCATTAAATGGATATAAAACAGGTAGGTGAGCAACATAATAACAGTGATTCGATTCAGCAACCAAACACAATAATGTGTAGTTGGCTTTGAACATGGGTGAGTGACACGAACAGGCCGATCTGATGAACTTTGTACCTGGTTTATCTAACAAACCAACACCTGACATTACAAATTGAACACTTCACGGATCATCTAACGAAAAGTAGAAATTGTTGTTCCAACTCGATTTACACGAGAGTTGGGTTAGAGACAACAAGACATTTGGAGCATATGTTTGTGAAGAAAGAGTGTTTAATATTGCTCCTACAGTCATAAGCAAGAATCATGAGTTCACGCAAGAGGAGTAGAATTAAACAAGAAAAATATTGCGTATACGCAGGTATGAATCCGTCGGAACTCACCTAGCATATATATTCCATACATCCATTTTTGTTTTTGTGGGGTCTTCCCCAAAAGCTATTTGGGTATCAAGCTAAAATAATAATGCATTAAACACTTCAAGTGAATTAGAACTGTGAAATAAAATAATTTGTTAGTACTATGAAATCAAACGAGGCATATAAACATATAATTAGATACTGTTTGGCAGTAGACTTAAATTTAGTAGCTAAGTATTGTGAACATACTAGTTAGAAAAGCATCAAAATATCAAGACTATATAGTCACCAATGTTGTCCTAAGACTTTACAGCCAATACTTTCTATATAGTAAAGACTATTAATTTTTCCAGTGTTGCTAGCTAGCATAAGACCAAAGTATTAGATTCATTGTCATCAAAGACGATATTTAAATAATGGCTCAAGCATAAAAACAACAGTCTGGTTGCCTAACTAAAAACCCTCAACATCACTGGAACTTAGATAACATCTTTTGGTGTTCAGTTCTCTGAGATAGATGATTTAATTGAGGATGATGGGTGTCTTCAGGACTTAATTAATAATAGTGAGATTTTCAGTTATTTCACAAGTGTTCTGTTAGATCATTCCAATGGCTTGTTTATGACTATATTTGTAGGTTTTGCTTTTATTTGCATTAGGATTTATGTTGAATGTCTTTGTTAGTCCACCACTGGCTTTATGGTTGATTGATTTCTTCTAAAAAGATTCATAGATTGGGTCTAAGTCGATTGTCTACGCAAGATACTCAATGTCCGTTGATCGGATAACATCAGCAACAGCCTACTGTAGGAGTCAGTCAGCTACAACGTAGGATCAGGCACATTTATGCATCGGTCCAAGTTGCTACACGACATTGGCACAACCAGGTGAACACCGGATTCATAGAAGTAGTTATTTCAATGGTGGTAAAACTTAAAGAAATATTACATATAAAGACATAGTCAAGAAGAATTAGTTCGTAGAAAGAAAGATATGAAGACAGAGTGTATACACCTACACCATTGTGGTCGATTCTGTGCCATGTCACCCAGAGTCTCCAACCACTGATTACGATAGTCAGGCGGACCCCAACCAAGTAGACGGCATCTACCAACATGGCTCAAACCGGAAGTTGATGACTTCAAGCAGCGATGCTACGTTTCGGTTGGGTCGCCCCTAACTTTCTTCCATCCATCTTCAACACAGGTCAGCATTGCGCGTCGTGGTAATCAGTATTCAGGCAGACGCAACACATGGCCCAACCATCTCAGTCGATAAAAATTTACAATCTCATCAACTGGTTCACAATCATTTCCTAATACCCTGCGTCTAACCTGACTATTACTTACCCGGTGATCCTTTTTCGGCTTCCTCCTCAAGCGTCAATTTCCTTTATCCATCTCCAACACTAGTCAGCATTGCACACGGTGGTAGGGTATGCGTTATACGTTGCCTTAACATCTCAGTCGATGAAGAATTACAAACACCAACTGATTTACTAATCATTACCTAACCTCATTATTAATTATCTGACGACCTCAAAAAATGCGGGCATCTGTGGTCAAATACTAGGAGCTTACGGGTATCTTCTACTCTTAATGGCCACGTTTCACAGTTGTAAAGAAGAACAGAACGAACTGCTGCGCAGTATACTCGTTCATTAATTAATCCCGACTGTAGCTGCTACCTTGACGCGGTGGTCGGCTTGCCTATCGTGATGACCCAACCGAGCTATATTGGCTGGAACATATGTTCCTGTATGTTCTACTATACCAGCCAGGTCGATTGGAGAACGGTAAGACTAAAAGCAGCAACTCAAGGTCTGAGGGCGAAGTTGTACTGCTGACTGTAGAGGGGTGTGACAGCAGTAAGGTGTTTTCCTCGGACAACCAGCATCTGCAGCGATGCTGCCTTCTCACAAAGAAGGAAGTGGTTAGAAAAAGTCGACCCTAAAAATGCCACAACTCACCTTACCTCACGGACTTCCTTCTACGGCGGTAAGACCCTTTGTAGAACGGAAATAACACGTCAAAAACCCCACAAAAAGGCCGTGCGCGACCGGCCTCAAACAGTTGTCACCTGTGCTCTGCAGTCACGCTCCCAGGCCGTTAAGGCCGACATTAATCCGAATTCGTTTCCAGGTTCCTCAAGAAATACCCTTCCACGGTGTGGGCAGCCGGGAAGTGACACCAGCCCTCATACCCGTAACAGCACACAACACCAAGTTGGTCACATTCAAATCCTTATTACACCTAACACCACTCTTATCTCCCCGAGTAACTCTTGTCACGTCCTTTTTTCATTCCGCACCGCTAGGGCAAACGACTCGAGTACGCGGAACGTTATTCATCGTCTCCTGAAACCACGCTCTAAACTACATGTAGGAGCTTTTAACGTCCGAACACTGTGCCAAATAGGACAACAGGCTTCCTTAGCTAGGACTTTCGGATCTTGCGCCGTCGATATGTGCTGCGTCGCCGAAATGCGCATACAGGATCCGAGTAGCGTTATTCATTTGAAATCACCATGTCTAAACAAAGAACCAACTCGATTCACACTTCGTGTATCTGGAAGCCCAGATGCGGCTTCTCGTGGACTCGCCGGCGTAGGTATAGCATTGAGTCCTAGGGCAGAACTAGATCTCTTAGAGTGGATCCCAGAAGACAGTCGTTTGTGCGCTGTCCGACTAAACGGAACAATAAGGACTCGGAAAAATAGGGACACTCGTCGTTGCCTCTTTGTCGTCTCTGTCTGTTCTCCCACTGACTGCAGCGCAGATGAGTTTTACAGAAAACTCTCCGACCTTCTCCGAAAAGCTAGGCGCTCCGATGTAGTAATAGTGGCTGGTGACTTTAATGCTCAAGTAGGTAAACTAAGCGATAGGGAAAGACACCTAGGTGGATCTTATGGTGTCGTGGCTCAAAGAACAGATAATGGCGACCGTCTGTTGCAGCTATGCTCAGATAACCGCCTCTTTCTTGCAAATACTAACTTTAAGCATAAGGAAAAACATCTTTTGACATGGCGACCCCTAATTCGTCCCAACGTTGGACCCAAATAGATCACATCGCTATCAGCCACCGACGGAGGGGCTCGATAGAAGACTGTCGCTCATTCTGGAGCACATGCCTAGATTCAGATCATGCTCTAGTGCGAGCGCGTATTTGCCTGCGTCTTACTGGACGTAAGAAAGACGCTGCACGGAAACCTCTTAGGGCCATACTTAATGATAGTCGAGCTAAGAGTATGTATCAGGAACAACTAGGAAAACAGTTAGGCAGCCTTGTATGTGATGCCTACCCCGAGGCAGAGTAGAATGATATCTGAAAAGCTGTGGAAACAGCAGTGATATCTGCTAGTACGGTAAACCGTAAGGTTAGGGAGTAACACTAGATCTCAGCAGCATCTACCGCACTGATAGATGCCCAAAAACTCATTCCATCTGGATCTGAACATAATGAAAAGCGGAGTCAGATTAAGCGTAAGCTGACAAGAAGCCTACGCAATGATCGCGAACAGTGGTGGGTAAAGAAAACGAGAGAGAAAGAAAAGGCAGCGGCAATAGGTAACATCAGACAACTGTTCAGACTTGTTAAGGAAATCGGTATTAGGAACCCGTATGTTAGCGAAACAAACTCAGAAAAAGCTAGACATATTATACATTCTCAATCCAGGAGACTGGATCGAGGGACAGAACACTAGGGATCAGTTCAACTGGCCTTCAGCCACACTTCGGTTTCCCACGATCTCCAGTCAACTTGAATGGCAAGTTAATTTAGGTCCGCCGACTCTTTATGAAGTAGAAAAAGCTATCGCAAATCTGAAGCGAGGGAGAGCAGCAGACCCTGACAGGTTTACTCCTGAGATTTTTAAGGATGGTGGTCCAGTATTAGCAGTGAGATTAACTGAGGTCTTAGGTAGAATTTGGGAACTGGACGCAATCCCATCTGGCTGGTCTCAATCACTGATTGTACCAGTCTATAAGAACGGATAAAAGTTCTTTTGTGACAATCACAGAGGAATCAGTTTGACTAATATAGTGTCTAAAATATTAGCTTCAATAATACTTTGACGCCTAACTAAAGCTCGTGAAGAGCAGACTAGAGAAAACCAGGCTAGTTTTCGACCTGGACGTGGTTGTATAGGCCAGATATTCACACTACGTCAGGTTCTAGAACATAGACACACGTTCAGACGCCCCACAATCGTAGTATTTCTCGACCTTAAAGCAGCATTCGACTCTGTTGATTATGAGGTTCTATGGCAGTGTTTGTCAGTGAAAGGAGTACCAAAGAAGTACATTAACCTTATGAAGGCTCTCTACTCGAACACAACTGGTCGAGTGAGAGCTTATGGAGAACTGTCATGCGATTTTGCAACTTCAAGTGGTGTCTGGCAAGCTGTTCACCATCTCCATTTCTGTTCGGTTTCATCGTAGGCCTACTGCTGGGAGTTCGGCAGGTCGTTCTGTTTTAATTTACGGCAGCGAAACATGGCCATCAAGAGTAGAAGACACTCGCAAGCTACTAGTATTTGACCACAGATGCCTTAGAAATATTGTTGGCGTCTGCTGGGATCACCGGGTAAGTAATAGTGAGGTTAGACGCAGGGTATTAGGGAATGATGGTAAATCAGTTGATGAGGTTGTGAATCTTCATCGACTGAGATGGCTGGGACATGTGTTACGTATGCCCAACGACCGACTGCCCCGACGTGCGATGTTCAGTGGTATAGGAGTAGGTTGGAAGAAAGCTAGGCGCGGCCAGACCAAAACATGGCACAAGTCCTTGAAGTCACTGACAAGTGGACTGAGCCATGTTGGTAGGTGTAGACTACCTGGTTGGGGACCGCGAGATGAAAGCAACCGATGGTTAGAGACCCTGAATGACATGGCTCAAAATCGTTTGCAATGGCGCAGGTGCATCCACTCTTTGTGTTCTCCCAAATTTTGATCTCCTGATTCCTCCTCGTCTCTTTTTTCTCCTCTTGAATTTATTTCACTGGATTATACTCTTTAAATAACATCTCCAAACCCTAATCTTTCTGATTACTGCTTATACTCTTACTACCTCTACCACTACGGGATTTGAATCGACAACTGCATCTCTGTGTTAAGGTGGTGTGGCAACTCGAACTGATGTACGTACGTACGAAGTTCTACGTTGTTACTGGCTGACTGACTGATTAACCGTATTTATGTTCATTATAGTTAAATATTTTTGGAAAAGAAAATAAATACTGCCAAATAATTTAATCGAAGTACTTGTATTCGACTTTGGTTTTCGGATGTTTAGTCGTTATATTTTTAAAGTTGTCAGTGATGATAACGACTAAATATTTCTTTTATCAAAGATACTAATCATCCAATTAGAAATTTTCGAAAATTCAATGAGTATATTTACCCTCTAATGTCTGGTTATGACATTTACTGTAAGAGTTGATTACCCACGGCTTCATTTTCCTAAAGTTCGATTTTTGAAATGGTTCACTTTATTGTAAATTGTAGGAACTTTCGCGCGCTATAGGTCATTAAGTTTGCCCTTTATTACACCGTAGATTTTAAAAATTACAGCATTTTTCATTCTTGAAAATTACAACTAGTACGATAGCTAGTAAATGAAAACCACTTTTCAGTAACTTCCCGACATTTTTCACTTTTTCGTACTCTTCTCGTCTTATTTTCCAAACAGCTTGAAAATCCCACTGTTGTCACTGACTAAGCCAAGTATTTCTTACTACTTTTTCATATGGGCTAATTTAATTGAAGAAGCTTTGGATACTTTATCAGTGAGCATAGGCAACATGGATTGTAATAAAATAAGTTTATTGTCCCTGGTAAGTTAGAAATATTTCCGTTAATATGGTAATATATATATATATATTCATCGAGGAGGAGCATAGGCTGCCTACCAGCTCTCTCCATCCAAACCTGTCCTGAGCAATCCTTTCCAGCTGCTATTCACCCTTTTCATGTCTACTGTTAATTATCAGCTCAGTGTATTCTTTGACCTTCCTCTTCTCCGTTTCCCATCACAGTTCCAAGTTAGCGCTTTCCTCGTGATGCAGTTTAGTGATTTCCACAATGTATGCCCTACTCACTTCCAACATTATTTCCTAATTTCCTCTTCGACTGGAAGCTGGTGTGTCCTCTCCCACAGTAGCCTGTTGCTGACGGTGTCCGGCCAACAGACATTTAGTGTCTTTCGCAGAAAATTGTCTAGAAATACTTGTACCTTTTTGATGATGGTTGTGGTAGTCCTTCAAGTTGCAGCTCCGTACAGTAGGAGTGTCTTGATGTTCGTATTGAAAATTCTGACTTTGGTGTTTGCTGACAGTTTTTTTGAGTTTCATATGTTCTTGGACTGTAGGAACGCTGCTTTTGCTTTGCCGATTCTCTTCTTTACGTTTGCATCAGATCCTTCTTGTTTATCGAAGTGCAGTTCAACAGGCCTGCTGCTCCGGCAACATCGGTCAGACTGTCCTGCCCTCCATGGCCGGTGACGACTGATCCACCAAATGAGGCGGAAGTCCGCAAGGAACCCCAACTCTTGAAGCGCTACAAACCACCTGGCCCAAATGACTTACCTCCGGCTCTTTTTAAAAATGCTGGTGACTTTCTGACTAAGGAATTGACGACGTTGTTTACAAAGATTTAGGAACTAGAGAGTGTAACAACGTCATGGAATGAGTCGTAGGTTGTTCAAAAGCCGAGAATGATTGACTCGCGAGGAGCAGGCTGGGTTTCGATCTGGTCGAGGACGTATTGATCATATCTTCACCCTCCGCCAAATGTTAGAACACCGCCATACTTATCAAAGGCCAACAATCGTAGTGTTTCTTGACATCAGGACTGCCTTCGATTCGTTGGACAGGACTGTTCTCTGGGATTGTCTATTGAAGAAGGGTGTGCCTGAGAAATTTATTAACATCCTGAAAGCCCTATATACAAACACCTCAGGCAGAGTGAGGGCATACAACCACCTTTCTCCATTGTTCCATTCGAGTAGTGAGGTTAGGCAGGGTTGCCCAATCTCACCATTCCTCTTCAACTTTGCCATCGATGACATTCTGGAAACAGCTCTGATGAATGTAAGTAATGGTGGTGTGGATCTGTTGCCCGGAGAAAGCCTTCTCGACCTTGAGTATGCGGACGATATTGTCTTACTGTGCGATAATGCCCAAAGCATGCAATCCGCACTTAATCAGTTGGCAATCAGTGTCCGTAGGTATGGTATGTGCTTTGCACCTTTGAAATGCAAAGTACTCCTACAAGACTGGCAGGATTCCAATCCTGTACTCACCCTGGATGGTGAGCAGATAGAAGTAGTCGAGAAGTTCGTGTATCTGGGTAGCTGCATAAGTGCTGGTGAGGGTGTGAGTGATGAGATCGATGCACGTATAGTGAAAACCAGAGCGGCTTATGTCAATCTGGGCCATCTATGGCGCCTTCGTGATGTTAGTCTGGCCGCAAAAGGTCGGATCTACAACGCGTCGGTGAGAGCAGTTTTGCTCTATGCTTGTGAAACCTGGCCTCTCCGAGTTGAGGACGTTAGACGAGTCTCTGTGTTTGATCATCGTTGTCTCCGAAGGATTGCTGACATCCAGTGGCTGCTCCATTTTAATAATGCAGAGGTTCGGCATCGTGTGTTCGGGCACAGAGACGATAATGCAATCGGTGTCACCATCTTGAAACACCGACTTCGGTGGCTTGGACATGTTCTACGAATGTCGTCCCAGAGAATTCCACGTCGTGCATTATTTGCCGACTCTGGGACTGGTTGGAAAAAGCGGAGGTGGTCAGTGTACGACATGGTGTTGGGGTATGAAAGAAAGATGCAAAGGGCTGGCTTCTGTTGGTCCTTCTTGATTCAATGGTTGGGGTCCGAGAGATGGTGCTACACAGTGGTTAGAGACGATATCAGATATGGCTCGGAATAGAAGCCAGCGGCGATCCTGCTGTAACCTTCTTTTACTTTCTTTATAAGCAGTGGTTGTATCTTCCTTAACTAAACAATTCCTTCTGATTGTACCTTTCTGTTCCTCCATTATTACTATTATTATTATTATACTACCTTACATTAATCTGTAGTAGTTATTGTTCTCCTTTTCTTCTTATACGCTCCTTACCTTTTTCTCTTCCCATTCTCATTGTCTTGTGTGGCGCATATATATTCGGCGCACTCTTGTACCAATATTTATGTGTTCAAATAAATAAAAGCGTGACCGTAGTGCTGAAGGGACAACTTGTTGAGACCTAACAACCGGAGAATGAAATACGTGGGATAAGGTGAGTTGTGCAGTTTTAGGGTCAACCTTTTCTAACCTCACCCTTTCATTGTGGAAAGGTAGCATCGTTGTTATGCTGGTTGTCTGAGAGAAACATTTTACTGCAGTCACACTTTTGCACAGTTAGTGGTACGACTTCACCCTCGGACCTTGGGTTTGCTGCTTTTAGTTGTACCGCTCTTCAACCGACCTGTCAGTCATTGTAGAACCTTGAGGAACGATTGTTCCAGTCAGTTTAGTCCGATTATTTCATCACGATAGGCGAGCCTAAATACTACGTTAAGGTGTCACCAACGGTCAGGAACAAACTTCGTAATGGGAGAAATGAGGTTTATTCACAATGGTAAGGATTTGATGTGGCAAAAACCTGACTATACTCCAATAGAAACCACTTAGCAAATTGCACTAGACAGTAAGATGACTGCTCCTACCACTATGAGGCAGTTTATGAATGAGGCTGAACGCTAAAAGGTGAAAATAATATATATTTGTAATATTCCAATGAGTAGAAAATTAGATTTTCCACTCATTGGGATATTACAAATATATTATTTTTGTTTATAATAATCAACCCAATGCTCAATTTATTCGAAATTAGCTAAAAGGTGAAGGTTAATTACAGTATCAAACCGCTCATTCCTAAGCATATTCGATTCGCTTATTTATGCAATTCCTTAATATAGTTGTTTTTTCAGGAAATCATGATAATACGTCAACCGGTACGTGAATTCGGTGATTCCAAGTTTGAAGTTGTCGTAAATAATTTGTGTCTCAGGATAAGATTCAACCCAAACATCTTAGGTTAACCTAATCATCCTTGTAATGTGCACAGTAATATTACGTTATTCGAGAAAAGTAAACTAGTTTTATATTTCATCACGTTCCAGAAAAAGCGAAAAATCTTATTACCAATAAAGTTATCTAAAGGTATGGTCTGATAACAAAACAGAATTTAAAATCTTATTGGTGTTTAAGAAGTCTACTGAAAATACCACAAGGGAATTCTGAATATTAAACAATATATCACTCGTAATGACGTGTATACAATTTAGACACAAAAATGAACATACCCGCTCACTGTAAAGATCTGTCAAAAGCGTCAGGATTCGAACCCGCAAGCCTCGAATGCCATTTGTAACATTTAGACGGCTTAGTTGTGCAAGCAGCTCGAAACCAGATGGCGACATTACTGAAGTTGAAAAGAACTGTTTTTGAGCAACTGGGAAGTTACGCAGCAACGCACTTAGCGTTGACACTCCTCCTGACAGTAATGTAGTGAATTCCAATGAATCTTGCTCATCCATGCTTGCTTTCAAAAAAGAATGTAGTTGGTCAACCACACCATTTTGAAGTGCGACTACTTGAACATCAGAATTCCTATAAACATGATTAATGAAAAAACATTCACTAAGATTTGAAAACTTGGTAACACTCACGTTTTGAAACAATAATGTTAATAAGCAATCATATTGAAGTAAAGAAGCGGCGCATTTAGCTTTTTAATTGGCCATCATCTAAAAGAATATGCAAAAAAACGATCGACGAACAACTTGATACATAGTGAATATCCCACTTGCTATAAATCAGAATTTATGACAGCGCACACCAACACGGTTACAATCCACTAGAAACTGAATCAACTGAACTGATGTAACTTAACTTTTAACAAGACCTGCAGGACTGGATATTTATGGAAAATGTATTATTTACAGGGTACTAAAGACGACATAAAAGGCAACTGCTCTAAAAAGAAAGGTGAGCGAATAGTTATTTTATTCTCTTATTAAAACACAAAATAACCAACAATATATTATAAAAACAACCCATAAATACAGTATTTACAAATTCTATAGCGAATTTCCATAGTTTTGCACGTATAAGTATAGCACTAAGAAAGCAAAAGAAGCAATATTCAAATGGATGACTTGCGGGTTGTCCGATTAAACGGTACAGTAGTAAATAAGAGAGGCAAACACATTCTGTTGCACCCTTGTCATTTCCTCGTGCGCCTCCGTTGATTAGGGCTTGAGAAGTAAAAGATAAGGTTAATAGGAAGCTATCCAACCTTCTTCAGGAAGCCAGGCTTTTATATCCCATAATCACAGATGATGATTTCGATCGGTAGGTAAGTAGACAAAGATGAGCTGAAATATATTTAAGTATATCTTATAGAGTTCCAACCCAGAGAACAAATAACAGTGATCTCAGCAATTATGTGTAAGCGGCTGTTTATTCTTAGGAAGAATTAGCTTAAAGTATAAGGGTAGACATAGTCTACCAGCATCCTTCGGACGCTAAAATAAGGAATAGTTTCTTTCTGGAAAGGAAGCTAGGACTCCAGTCATATTTTATTAAGTGCAAGGAGTTTTACTAAAACATGATAATTTCACAACAGGAAGACCCTTGAGAGCTCACTTAGAAGATGAAAAACAAGGATGCATTAAGGGATCCAACTAAGCATTTAATCGACCATGAAGAAAAAAGTAAACATATGTAAACAACTGTAATGAATTCATAAAAAATGTTAGAGGACCATGTTAGCTTCTAGTGAACTGACAGGTGCTCCGAAAGATAAAGTAAAAGACTCAGAGAACGATGGACAGTAGAAAATTAGAAGTAAACTAACAAAATGCTTATACAATTTCCGCGAGCAGTAGTATGAGAGTGAAGTGAGATATGAAATTTATTTGAACACATAAATATTGGTACAAGAGTGCGCCAAATATATATGCACCACACAAAACAATGAAAAATTAAGGGGAAGGAAAAACAGAGAATAATAACGAAGAGATTGATGTAAGGTGGTGAAGTTATAATAATGGTAATAATGAGGGAACAGAAAGGTACAATCAGAAGGAATTGTTTAGTTAAGGAAGATACAACCACTGCTTATAAAGAAAGTAAAAGAAGGTTACAGCAGGATTGCCACTGGCTTCTATTCTGAGCCATATCTGATATCGTCTCTAGCCACTGTGTAGCAACATCTCTCGGACCCCAACCATTGAATCAAGAAGGACCAACAGAAGCCAGCCCTTTGCATCTTTCTTTCATACCCCGACACCATGTCGTACACTGACCACCTCTCCGCTCTTTCCAACCAGTGCCCCCGAATGCCCTGGTACGGCCGAGAGTGGGGTGAGTCCGTTCTCCCTCTCGAAATACTCTTACACGGCCGCGCGTATACAGCCTCTGCCAGGGAAGTCCTACTCATTGCCTTCTCGTGGCGGGGGTGTTGTTTACGAAAATGAGAGGACGAAAAGCGAATGTCCGGCGCTTTAACCGGATCACAAACCAATGGTGCACATGGGCTCCAGTATCCTGCGGGAACAAATGGCGTATGAACCAATCTTGGTCACCGGCTACCATGGGATTGCATCTCCTTACGATGCTCCACTGCCTTGTGGGTTAGACCTTTAGGTCAAAGGCTCGGGGAGTGGCCCCTTAAGAAAACCACCTGCTTCGGTTTGGGCACCCGGGCAGTATCACAGCCCACACACAAACGATGAACTCTATGTCTTTGGCAACTACTTTTATCGCTCCGAAAAACAATCAGTCGATTCAAATAATTATCATTACTATTATTGTCATTATTAATACTATTATTATTACTATTATTGTCATTATTATTATTATTATTATTATTTCGCACATTATTCACCCTCTTTTATACTTATACAGCGGCTCGTCTTTGGTGGAAATCCGACTGTATCTAAACGTTCTCGAGTCACTGTCCGGTTGAAAGTTGTATGTTACCATCGAATATGAGTACTGAAGCAGTTTTTCTGAAACCACGTGCGCCATTCAAACTGGCTGCCTTCAACGTTCGCACACTTATGCAGGTTGGTCAACAGATAGGGCTGGCTATGTCTTTGGAAAGTCTTAATATTGATGTTTGTTGTCTATCCGAGACCCGTATTCAAGACTCTAGCGAAGTACTGCAAATTCGCTCTACATCTGTCACTTCAAAAAGCTTGTTTTACGTGCGCTTATCCGGGGACCCTGTGGCATCTTCGTCTGGTCTTGCAGGCGTTGGTGTCGCACTAAGCGCTAGAGCTGAGGCAGCACTAGTCGATTGGATCCCCATTAACAGTCGGTTATGTGCTGTTAGATTAGAAAGTTCCATCAAAGTGAGAAGAAATCGGCGTGAGAAACGATGTCTTTTCGTCATCTCCGCCTATGCCCCGACAGATTGCATCCGGGCTGCAATCTGTCGTAAGTTTTACTACCAGTTATCTGTTCTTCTCCAGAAAGTGCGTTCGACAGATATTGTAGTACTAGCCGGAGACTTGAATGCTCAGGTCGGGCTTCTAGGCACAGAAGAGAGTCGTTTAGGTGGCCGATGGGGACTTGTTGATCGCAGGTCAGATAACGGGGACCGTCTACTGCAACTGTGCACAGACCAAAACCTGTTTCTGGCTAGCACTAACTTTCGGCACAGTCATCGCCGATGTGCCACCTGGCGTCCTCCCTCTGCATCCCAAGCCTGGACTCAGATTGATCACATCGCGATCAGCTACCGCTGGCGTGGTTGTGTAAAAGACTGCCGCTCCTTTTGGAGTACCTATCTGGACTCTGACCATGCCTTGGTCTGCGCCAATCTTGCCTTACTTTTCAGTGGCCAACGAAGTGATCACCACCAAAAGATTGATGTTAGCAAGCTGGTTGCAACTTCTGTTGCAAATAAGTATCGAACCGAGCTAGCCTCTAGGCTAGCTACCACTCCACCGAAAAGTATAGATGAGCATTGGTTGCAATTGCATGACGCCATGAAAATGGCGGGAACAGTCAGTTGTGGGTTTGCGAAACGTCCCGCTTTTAAGCACTGGGTTTCTTCTGGTTCCTTACAACTCATTGAAGCCCGTCGGTCTACTCCGGGTGACCGTGAGTTCGACCATAAACGAAGGATGTTATGTAAGGAAATTGGGCAAAGCTTGCGTAAGGACCGAGAAGCCTGGTGGTCGAAGCGTGCTAATGAGCTGGAAGCAGCAGCTGCATCTGGTAATTACCGGAAGCTCTTCCAGCTCATCCGAGCCACTGGCAGCAAGAAGTCTGGTGTGAGTGAAACAATCTGCGAGGATGATGGGATGCCAATCACTAACATCCATCGACGTCTTGGACGGTGGGCAGAATTTTTCGAAGGGGAGTTCAACTGGCCTGCTGCTCCGGCAACATCGGTCAGACTGTCCTGCCCTCCATGGCCGGTGACGACTGATCCACCAAACGAGGAGGAAGTCCGCAAGGAACTCCAACTCTTGAAGCGTTACAAATCACCTGGCCCAGATGACTTACCTCCGGCTCTTTTTAAAGATGGTGGTGACTTTTTGACTAAGGAATTGACGACGTTGTTTACAAAGGTTTGGGAACTAGAGAGTGTGCCAACGTCATGGAATGAGTCGATAGTTGTCCCTATCTTTAAAAAGGGTTCACGTCGTTCCTGTAACAACTATCGGGGGATAAGTCTACTTACGATTGCGTCCAAGTTATTGGCTTCCGTCATACCTCGTAGGTTGTTCAAAACCCGAGAAAGATTGACTCGCGAGGAGCAGGCTGGGTTTCGTTCTGGTCGAGGATGTATTGATCACATCTTCACCCTCCTCCAAATGTTAGAACACCGCCATACTTATCAAAGGCCAACAATCGTAGTGTTTCTTGACATCAGGGCTGCCTTCGATTCGTTGGACAGGACTGTTCTCTGGGATTGTCTATTGAAGAAGGGTGGGCCTGAGAAATTTATTAACATCCTGAAAGCCCTATATACAAACACCTCAGGCAGAGTGAGGGCATACAACCACCTTTCTCCATTGTTCCATTCGAGTAGTGAGGTTAGGCAGGGTTGCCCAATCTCACCATTCCTCTTCAACTTTGCCATCGATGACATTCTGGAAACAGCTCTGATGAATGTAAGTAATGGTGGTGTGGATCTGTTGCCCGGAGAAAGCCTTCTCGACCTTGAGTATGCGGACGATATTGTCTTACTGTGCGATAATGCCCAAAGCATGCAATCCGCACTTAATCAGTTGGCAATCAGTGTCCGTAGGTATGGTATGTGCTTTGCACCTTTGAAATGCAAAGTACTCCTACAAGACTGGCAGGATTCCAATCCTGTACTCACCCTGGATGGTGAGCAGATAGAAGTAGTCGAGAAGTTCGTATATCTGGGTAGCTGCATAAGTGCTGGTGAGGGTGTGAGTGATGAGATCGATGCACGTATAGTGAAAACCAGAGCGGCTTATGTCAATCTGGGCCATCTATGGCGCCTTCGTGATGTTAGTCTGGCCGCAAAAGGTCGGATCTACAACGCGTCGGTGAGAGCAGTTTTGCTCTATGCTTGTGAAACCTGGCCTCTCCGAGTTGAGGACGTTAGACGACTCTTTGTG